TAAAAAGTTACAAAGTTAAGTGAAGCATCGTGACAAAAGGATAAAGCTAGTACAAAAAGAAGCATAAGCCCACATATACATTTACTGAGAAACAAAGGATTCAGAAGAATACATACAACAGTTCTGCTAAATCAGTACGAGGATACAAAGCAAGAGTTGTGCTTAGGTGGTTTCCCAAAAAACTTTCCTAAAAAGATGATGGCTCCAAAACTAAACTGAAAACGGATCTACGTACACAAGATGCAATGCTACACACGGAATTTACAACGGAGGCACACTTCAGTTTTTTCTTCACAGTAAAAAACCCAAAACTGAAATCGATATGCAAAGAATGATACACAGGTCAATGGACAAGAAAAAAGAAGAACAAGAGAAAAAAAAAAGGCATGGACGGTTTCATTCATGCATTTCATGATGCCATGTTTCCCTTCCAGGTCAATGATGCAGCGGCGGGCTGCGCGGAAGGGACATGCGATGATCGCTCAGCTCATGAGCTCCTTCTCCGCGCGCACCGGGGGCGGCCCGCCGTGGTCGGAGGCCGCGCCCGCACCGGACGACATCCTGAGGTTCTGCTGCTGGTACACCTGCCGCAGCCTCTCGATCTCCTCCTTCAGCGCCTCTTGATGAGCTGCAGATCAAGACGATTTTGGTTATTCCTGACGAGTCATGCAGGATGGAATTGTGAGTTTTCTGACGGAGTAGGAAGGAGTACTGACCGTCCTTGAAAAGCTTGTCCTGCGCCAGAGCTGCGATCCGCTGCTTGAGGTGGCTGTTGCCGACGGTGAGGATCGTCCGCTGCTGATCCAGAAACGCCACCCGGGGAGACAGCACGGACACCTCGTTCTGCAGATCAAACCATCGAAACGTCACGTGAGATTACTTCAGATGACGCTAGTAGCTAGAGTAGTTAATTAGTTTTGACTGAAGACTTGTCAGATTAACTCCTGGGTTTGCCCCAAACATCCTCTCTTCTCTTTTTGTGATGTCTCCATGTGCACACCCAGCTTGTGATAGAATACACACACATACACAGCATATGCCCTTAACGTGCGGCGCATGCAAGTGGGTACAGTAGGGTTGTTAAATGCTACCAGTGCACTAGCGCTCACATCATTGCTTAAGACAATAATCAGATGTGGCACCACTCACTACTTGGTGGGGCCGGGAGGCGCCTGCGCCTGCATGTGCCGTACCACTCACTGGCCGTGTAATTGGAGCGGGAGAGGAGAGGGACCGCCACTCCGTGAGATGCGAGCACGCAGCGCCATGTGCATTTGGATCACGCGAGCCACCTTGGTTGGTAGGTACCGTACATCGCTGTGCGTACGCACGAGAGGGGAGCCTACTGATGATCGATCTCATTCATGATCCCACCCCACCCCACATGGGTTCTCCCCAACATCATTTTGCTACCTTGCGTGCCAGCCAGCCTGCACCTTCGATCTAACCCTCTAGTGCACGCGGCGATTGATACGTTTTGTGTCATTGTGTGTGCACGAGCGAAAACATCTGTATATGGGTACGTCGTGGCATGTCGTGCGTACACGCCAAATTAATGGGTACGCACGTATACATCGCCCTGCCCTGCGAGCGCGAGCGACGTGCACATTTTGTGACACAAAACCACACAAGGTCGAGTGTGCGCTAGCTCTTGCGCATGCATGCATGCATGCATGCACGCATGACAAGAGCGTACATGAGCTGCATGCATGCCGAAATTGTGCTTATGCCTTATGGCCGTGCCTACGGAATTTCCTTAGCATCACGTAGCTAGCGTACATAATCTATGATCTACTGCTACTCAGTTTTCTACTCTGCTTTCTTGCAAAGGGGTGTTGGGCGACAAAATTAAAGGTCGGAGGCATGCATGAAGTAGAGTGAGTGGCGTACGTGTTGTCAGCTTTTTAAGTATAGCTCCTAGAACTGAGATCCATATATTTCGACTAGCCAACTCTTTTTTTGAGACAATTTGGACTAGCTAACTAGAATTGAGTAGCACTAGCTCGCCCTTTATTAAGCTCAGAAGTTATGAGTTTTGCACGTACTAGCTCATTAGACTGTTCTTAGCGAAGCAATTACTACTAAGCTAGCAGCAGGTGAGAGTATATGTACCTGCAGCGTTGTGACGCACCGCTCGAGCTCGGAGATGTACTGCAGCTTCCTCACCCGAGATCTCTGAGCCGACTGACGATTAGCCAGTATCCTGGAAACACATAATTCGGTCGGTCCATGGAGATCGAGCTTGATAATCAACACATTAATCAAGGAATCGCATCCATGCATGCATGCATTGGCATTGCGTGCGCACCTCTTGACCCTCTTGGGGTCGCGGATCGTCTCCGTGGACGAGGTCGGCGTGGCATGCCCCGGCCCCGGCTCCTCCGGGTTAGCATCGTCGTTGTGCCCGTCGTCGTACCGGTCCTTGCCGTGCTTCTCGCCGTCGCTGTCGCTCTTCTCGGACCCCGGGGCCGTGGACCCGCCCTCGTCGGGGAACATGGACATGAGCTGGTCGTCGTCGAGCCTGTCGAAGTCGCCGGCCCCGCCGCAGCCCCCCGGCGCCATCTCCACGAAGGCCACCGAGTCGCTGAGCGACCTGCGGTGCGCGCCCCGGCGCGCCGCCGCGAACTCGGCGAACTCGTCCGCCCACACCGCGGCGGGCGCGTGGCCGTGGTGCTCCACGCCGGCGCCGGGCCAGTGG